CTGTCTCAAAAGCAAGCAACAACCATGCAGGCAGCTCACCCCCAGTAACTTCAAAGGAGGAGATTTGGAGCGATAAAGAAAGGAATTGTGAACCCTCCATATCTTAAGACCTTTCCCAGGAAACTATTGACAGCTTATAGTTAGAATGATGTAGTTTAGTGTTCCCATCAGACAGGAATGTTTAGAGGAAAAAAGTTCTACCTATCTGCTAGCAAGAAGTTATCACAGGCTTGATGGACATGTAGAAATCAGCAGGCCCTACTAACTAAATTTAATTTCTAGATTCAATATGGTCATGCTATTACAGGAAAGAGTCCAGTTTGTATGGTAGGTGCTACAATAGGCACTGGATATCTTAAGAGTCCATACCAGTATCAAATATTGACATTTAAATCAACCTGTATTATTAATATGCTAAACCCAACAACAGTTGTATCTAGGGACAGAGAGGCATTAAGCCACAGTGAGAGGAGAAATGTGTAGTAAGACTATTGAGGTAAAAAGAAGTGTTTGAGGGGTTACATAATTAAAGACATTAAGCAATTGTAGTATATTGATTAAGCAGGCAGTGGCTAGAATTTAAGCAATATGTTATGAAAGTTGAGGGCCTTAGAGTTTATCCTATAAGCATTGAGAAGTCACTAGAGATTTGTTGCTTATTTTCTCAGTACTTTAAAGATCGTTCTGATGTTTTCTGACTTTCATTGCTTCTGCTGAGGAGCAAGCTGCAATTTGTTTAAAAAAAAAAAAAAACAGTGTGTTGAGCCGGGCATTGGTGGCACATGCCTTTAATCCCAGCACTTGGGAGGCAGAGGCAGGCGGATCTCTGTGAGTTCGAGGCCAGTCTGGTCTACAGAGCAAGTTCCAGGATGGCCTCCAAAGCAATACAGAGAAACCCTATCTTGAAAAACAAAACAAACAAAAACAAACAAACAAACAAAAAACCAGTGTAACAGTGTGTTGAATGTTTGACTTGCATATTTTAGTGCACTGTGTGCCTGCAGTTCCATCAGAGACCAGAAGAGGGAATCGGATCCCCTGGAACTGACCTAACAGACAGTTATCAGCTGCTTTACTGGTGCTAGGAACCCAACTTGGGCTCTCTGAAACAGCAACAAGTGTTCTTAATGGAGGAATCACCTCTCCAACCTCAACTTGTTATTCTTGACATCTTTTATGAACTGTGGTAGTTTGAATGTAATTGCCCCCCATCATCTCATAGGGAGTGGCACTACTAGAAGTATGGCTTTGCTGGAATGGGTATGGCCTTATAGGAGGAAGTGTGTCACTGTGGAAGCAGGTTTTGAGGTTTCCTTTGCTCAGGATACCTCCCAGTATTTCAGTTGACTTCCTGTTGCCTATAAGATGTAGCACTCTCAGCTCCAGCACCACATTTGCCTGCAGGCTGCCATGCCCTCATTATGATGATAATGGACTGAACCTCTGAAACTGTAATCAAGCCACCCCAATTAAATGTTTTCCTTACAAGAGTTGCCATGGTCATAGTGTCTCTTCACAGCAATAAAAACCATAACTAAGACACTAACATTTATTTATTTATTTATTTGGGGTGTGTGTACATACACATACATGTGTAGAGTTGGTTCTCTCATTCCACCATGTGCCTTCCAAGGATCCAACTTGGGTCATTAGGATTGGTGGCAAGAGCCCTTATCCACTGAGCCATCTCACTGACCCTGTAACTATAGTCATTGTTTTTCTGTGCATCATATCTTTCTGCTCTGGATATTTTTAAGATTCTATAACTTCATCCTTGTCAGCAAAGATGCACTGTTAAAGTTTCACTGTTTCTAAATGTCTTTTTCTGTTTATCCTGTCAGACATTTATCTAGTTCCCCAGATTTCTGAGTTGCGAGAGTGCTTATTTTTTACCTTGACTCTGTCTCAAATAGGCAAAACAAACAAACAAACAAAAAAGGTCAGGGGTGGAGGGCCAGGGATGATACTGAGGTAACCCAAAAGAGATTGCACTTCATGAATCAACTACCACCCCTAGGGCTAGGAAAAGGGAGAATCAGGTTTGAACTATAGGATTTCAGAAGCACAGAGGCATGACCCAGCTGGATTATAGTTCAGACCTCTAGGAGGAAGCTCTGCAGCTGGCTGTCCTTCTGCTCAAAGGGGATGATGTTGTGGGCAGGGGTGATAGGAAGGGATAATTTCAAAAGTAATTTAAGGATTGCAGGGGTAAAAGAGCAACATATGATAAAGGCAAACAGAAAGTAAAGTCCCTTCTCTTTCTGCTGCCTAATCTTCCTCTGTTAACTTTTTGCTTTCTCTTATTTATTTATTTGCAGGACTCCCCAGGGGTTGAATCTGCAGCAGTTTGCTATACAGTAGTAAGTGCTCTGCCACTGAGATTATCCCAGTAGTTTCCCCCTTTTTGAAAACAGGTCTAAGTTGCCAACGCTAAACTTGAACTTGGGATCCACCTGCCTCAGCCTCCCAAACTAGCTAGAATTACAGCCCTATGCTAGCAGTGTTTTCAGCCCCTCTGTAATGTCCTTTGTAGGCAAAACTAGCTAGCATCAAAAAAAAAATGAAATGTGTGGGGTCTGAGCTCTAGCATTGCATAGGAAAGTATAGAAGGGTGAGTTGGGAGCTAAGAGACAATACCTTAATAACCAGTATCACATCAACGTGGACTTATACAGAATAATGGCTGAAATTAGACTCAAATTAATGCTATCTTATATGTATTTACTGACCCAGAAGCTCTTTTTTCAGGGGGGGAGGGATTTTTTTTCCCAGGCAGGGTTTCTCTGTATTGCTTTGGAGCCTGTCCTAGAACTTGCTCTGTAGACCAAGCTAGCCCTGAAATCACAGAGATCCGCCTGCCTCTGCCTCCCAAGTGCTAGGATTAAAGACATGCACCATGAGGAGAGTCTTGAGATACTATCCAATTTTCTGTTACATTGTGAGTACTGCTAGTGTGTCAAAAAGTTTAACTTTGCTTTTTCTTTATTCTTGAGAATTTTATACATGTATACAATGAAATATGACCATATCCAACCCTGATTCTCTCCTCTAACTCTCCCCACATGCCCATATACCCCTCAACATGTCCCCCTTCCAACTAATAGCCTTTTTTTCTGACACAGGATTTCTCTATGCAGCCCTGGCTGTCCTGGAAATGACTTTTTTTTATAATCTGCTAAATCCTGTAGTGATATTTTGTTTATAATCTAACAAATAAAGCTTGCCAGAAGACTAGAGTGCAGACTAGCCACACTACTTAGTCAGAGGCCAAGCAGTGGTGGTACAGACCTTTAATCCCAGCATTTGGGAGACAGAGTCGGACAGACCTCTGCTAGTTCAAGGCCACCCTGGGCTACCTGAAATTGATCCAGTCTAATACAGAAACAGAGCCAAGTGGTGATGGTTCACACCATTAATCCCAGCACTAAAGAGGTGGATACAGGAAGGGATATGGCTTGGTAGAGAGAGGAATATAAAGCAGGGCAGTTAGTCCGAGCAGCAGTCAGTCTGAGGAAGCAGTCTGAGGACAGGATTGCCCCTTTGGTCTGAACTCTAATGGCTGGCTGCTCTGTTTCTCTGATCCTTCAGCTTTCGCCCCCTGATAGATGACTCCAAGTTTTTATTATTAAGACCTATTAGAACTCCTGCTACAAAATCCAGTAAATGCTGTCCATATGTAGTGGTGGGGTGGGAGGTGCAAGGAGACGAGAACACAGTAACATAATAGGAACATCCTCAAAAAAATTATTCTGGCTTCCCCAGTAGGTGTCAACCACCAATAACTCAGTAAGGCATGGGTCCTGGAGAGTCCCTCTCCAACGATGCTGAAATTGTGGCTGGCTTCATCTTGTGCAGGTCTTGCATAAGTAACCACATCTGCTTTGAGTTCATCATGCAATAGACATGTCAGTGTCTTTATTTTTTAAGAGTATGACATGTCTTCTTTACTTACATACTTACCATAGAATCATAAACGGGCTGCTATGGGAAAGATTTGCATAAATGACAATAAGGAGGGTCTTCCAAATATTAGCTCTCACATCATCAGGCACAAAATGGTATGGATTATATACAATTGGTGAGAATTCATTATACCCAACACTCATTCTCTGTACATTGCCTAATGTGGCCTACTATAAGAAGACGAATTTTCCGTTCTAACATTTAGACTCCCTGTTACTGAAAATCCAGCTTTTCTTTACTCCTTTTATTCATCTCAACTCAAGACCTTTAGATTTTTAGTGGAAAAATGGACTTTAGCTGGGTGTCCAACATGTTATGCTGTAGTGTAATTTTCATGAATGAATATTTCTGAATATTGAGGGATGGTTGTTACACATTTGTATAACATTAAAAATAAACATTTTTTTTCAGCTGAGCAGTGGTGGTGCATGCCTTTAATCCCAGCACTCAGGAGGCAGAGGCATGATGATTTCTATGAGTCTGAGACCAGCCTGATCTACAGAATGAGTTTCAGGACAGCCAAGACTACACAAAGAAACTCTGTCTCAAAAACCAAAACAAACAAACAAAAAGAATAAACATTTTCCCCAGGCATAGTGGCATATGTCTTTAATGCCAGTGCTTGGGAGACACACCAGTCTGGTCTACATAGCAAGTTCCAGGACAGCCAGGTCTACATAGAAATACCCTGTCTCAAAATAAAACAAAAACAGTTTTCAAGTTTTAGAAGTTTATAACCACCGACATTCAATCTGAGATTCCTAGTCTTGTGTCTTTGGTGATGGAGAATAATATCCTTCTAACACAGTTACTTTTTATTAATAATTATAAAGACACCAAGTTCATGACATATTTCATCTATTTAATATGTATGCTTTAATATATTAGTCTGAAATATTTTTCTGCATCTGTATAATTATTTATACTATGTAGCACTCTATCAATTATGTAGCACAAAGACATCTTACAGGTAAATATTAAAATGGCAATGTACATGTTAATAACTAGACATTAAGAAGATAGTAATAACCAGGTATTCATTTAATGGGAGAGTCCAGTATTTCTTGATAATCTTCCCTCCTTACATTCCTCCAGTACAGTTTATAGCCAGCAAGGACAAATACACTAATCATAATGATCACACCTCCAAAAACATCATAAACACTAGGAAATATGTGCAACACTAAAAGCTGTAAGACCATAGCTACCACAATCTCCAGATGCTGTACTGTGCTGACCAGAGCTGGATGGAATTTGTCTAAGGCATAATAAACTCCTAAGAATGCTGCAGTAGAACAGATGCATATAGCAATGAGATAGCTCCACGTTTCTCCATCTAGAGGGATTATAGGTTCTTGAAGAACAAACATAGTAGAAACTCCCCAGATGGTTCCAGTCCAACCAAAGGTGAACAATGCAGTCCACATGCTGATCTTCTCCCTGATGGATCTGTACACTATCATAGAAAGAGCAGTGGTCAGTCCAGCCATCACGGTCATCGTGTACCCAAAGGCTTCTTTCCAGGCATTTAACAAGGAATTGTCTTCATCAACAATGTTGGGAATCATGACAAGACAAACACCTAAGATACTGCAAACCACTGTAGCCATGTCAACATAAGCCATTTTCTCATCCACAAGTAAAAATGCTAAAATGGCACTGAAAACTGTGGTTGTGGCTCTCCACATCGTGGTCCCATTGCTGGGAGGAACTATTGAAAAGGAGGTATAAGCACAGGTGATAGAAATAACATTGCATATACCATAAAAGAAAAGCCGTAATCTGTATCCGCTGGGTCCAAAAGGAGCTTCCTGGTAATAGCACACAACTAACACCGATAAGACCTGCAACACGGAACGGATAAAGATCAGTTCTAAAGATGGAACTTTAGAACGATCCGAAACAAGCCTAGTGATAAGAGCCACACATCCATGAGCCAAGGCAGACCCAAACAGCACTATCCACATTTTTCGGGACTGAAAAATGTTTTTTTCTGCAAAACTGTGGAATTGTGCTATCCCACTGGCTCTTAAATCTTCTGTTAGTGGAGGCTGAGTGTCCATGGTTCCAAACAAAGTTCTTCCTTTCCTCTTGATTTCACTCAGCAGGCTTTTCTTTGGATTTTCTTCCATAAATTTGCCATAGTCTTCATTGATTTCTTCATACCCATCATCCCCAGGTTGGGGATAATGAGAGGTATATTTCACCATGACTGTGTTGGGATGTATTTTCACCCGTTTTTTAACTGGAGATTGTTTGGATGGAGAAGTATCCATTTCTTCAGATAACAAATTCTATTTAAAGAAAAAAGATAAAATATACATGTTCATTGCATTGAAAACTGCATTACTATCTTGCATATATATACTAATTTAATGATGGAAGGTAGAGACTAAAACAGGAGTCTGGAAAGAAAACATAATAGGAAGATTTGATTTGGCATAAGCATTATCATGTATATGAAGCCCAATGGAATTTTCGAGCCTGTTAGCTCTCCAATGTCTCACTGTATTTGTTCTTATTAACTCTTTTTATTTGTTCAGTTTATTGGTTTTTTGAAATAGGGTCTCATATAGCCCATGCTGGCCTTGAACTCTTCATCCTCCTGCCTCCAACTCCCAACTGCTAGGATTAGAGGCATATGCCATATACCCAGCTTGTCTTTTCAGCTTTATGCCTCATTTTACATGACACACTGGTGTTTTTCCATCTTTTCCTTTCTACTCACCTTAAAATCAAAACACAAAAAATAAAAAGCAGCCTTTAAAAAGATAGATTTTATCTAATTTTCTTTCATGTGCATTGGTGTTTTGTCTGCATTCATTCCTGTGTGAGGGTGTTGAATCCCCTGGAACTAGAATTGCAGACAGTTGTGAACTGCCACATGGGTGCTGGGAATTGAAACCAGGTCCTCTGGAAAAACAGCCAGTGCTGTAAACCACTGAGCCGTCTCTCCAGCTCCACACCTTGCTTTTTGTTGTGCCCATTTGTCTATGTTCTAAATTGTTAGTACATGAATCCGAAATATTTTAAAGACTTTTTAAATTTGTGTGTGTGTGTTTGTGTGTTTGTGTGTGTGTGTGTGTGTGTGTGTGTGTGTGTGAGTGTGTGCGCATGAATGTGCACATAAGTAGGTATGCAGGTATCCTCACAGGCCAGAAAAGGGAGCCAAATTTCCCAAAACTGGAGATATAGGTGGTTGTGAGTCTTTCCACATGGGTGCTGGGAACCAAACTTGGGTCCTCTGAAAGAGCAGGAAGTGCTTTTAACCACTGAGTTTCTCATCAGTCCCCAAAGGCATTTTACATAGTTTTATATAATAACAGAATCTAAGCAAAGTGGCACATATCTATAATCCCAGTACTTGATATTGTGATATACTGTTAGGGAAAATATTAAGCTTCCTTCAAAGTAAGGATCAAAGAAATACTGAATATAAAGAATTTTTCATAGAAGTATATATAGTAAACTCTCAATAAATGTTAACAGAAAGTTTGGCTATTTTCACCTACAATTACCCTGTGAAACACTGGATATCTTTTACAATGTTATTCTTTCTCACTCAGTCTATCTTCCTCTCTTTCTTTGAACAGTTTCCTCTTTTCAGTGATTCTTTTCTTCCATCCTAAAAGGTGATCTGGCAATACACCTTACCAGACATGTGGAGCCCACTGAAGTGTCCACCCTAAAAGGGAAGAGGCAAAGGAGAGAAGAGGAAACTTTTCTCTCCTTGTGATCCCCCAAATCCTTGCCCAAACTCATCAGTTCTAGGACTTAAGCCATGACCCCAGAATGAAATCCAATTCAATTCTTTTGACACCATCTGGATAGCCAGCTGTTCTGTTTACTCCCTCTTCTTCTGAAAGTCCTCTTCAGCTGGAAGAAGTCATGGAAAAATACAACCCGTGCCTCCAGACCCTCCAGACCTAACCAGCCTCCTCCTGCTGCTCTCCAGTATACTGGTTTCAAGAAACCCCACTGTTCTTTATTTCTCACTTCTAGCCATTTCCATTTTTTTAAAGATTTTATTTATTTAGTATACATGCCTGCACACCAGAAGAGGGCACCAGATCTCATTAAAGATGGTTGTGAGCCACCATGTGGTTGCTGGGAACTGAACTCAGGACCTCAGGAAGAGCAGTCAGTGCTCTTAACCTCCGAGCCATCTCTTCAGCCCCATTTCCATTTTAAAATTGTGGTTTTAGTTTCAATAGTTTCAATTGCCAAGAAGGTACTTTCTTCCCAGCTCCCTCACTTCTGTGGGAGACCTAACAGTCCTCCCAGATCCCCAAGCTAGAAACCAAGGAACACTCTGACTTCTCCTTTCTGCCATCACACGCCAAATTGGCTCATCCTTACTGTTTTTGTCTTCGAAATATTTCTTGGATTTTTCTTTTTTCTCTAATTCCATGTTAATGTTATTATTCTAGAAGAAGCCAGGATGGGTTCCAGACTAGAACATTACCCTGGCATCCTGTCACAATCCTTGAGTTCCAGCCCTCCTCTAAATCCTGTTGTCACATTAATCTGTCTTTAAAAAATTCAGACAAAAACTTTCCTCCAAGTTTTCCCCATCCAAGAATCAAGAGTTCTCTACAGACTCCTTTCTACACTATCAGTATCACCTAACCTAGTGCACCTGTGTAATCCCAACACAGAGGTAGAGGCAGGACGACCAGAAAGTAAAGGCCATCCTCAGCTACATAGTGAGTGGGTTTGAAGCTAGCCTGGGCCACATGAGATGCTGTCTCAAACACAAAAAAGAAAGGTCAACTCTAACATCTCTGCCAGGCACTTGATACCCTACTTAGTGTGGCCCTGGTCTGTACTTAGCCCATTGGCATCCACACCATGACCCAGGAATCTGTGTGGTGTCTCCTTAACCTTGCACCATGTGTGTAAAAGTCATTTCTCAAACTTTTATTCCATTAATCTCTCCTCTGCTCCAACATTCTAAATAGTGATCATCTGTTAGGAGCTAATTCAAATTCTGTCTTTAGGAGCAAGCTTTCTCTGGCTTCTCCAGACACTTCTTCATCTAAACAATTGCAGCACTTCTAATCTAATTTGTATAATGTAATCATGTTGCTTCCTGCTTGGCTCAGCCCTGAAGTTTTATGTTCCTAGTTACTGTACCCAATTTAACTATGTCAATTCTCATTTCCTTGATGACCAGTAATTATCTTAATGAAATTTTACATTCCATAACTTCCCATTTGCTGCTATTGTTGAAAATTTACCTTATATTCATTCAAAGTTTCCCCCTTACTGATACAGGTCAAACCTACAGCTCTAGGGACATGATTAGGGAGTGAGAGTGGCTTGCTATTTTATTCCTTCTATTCTCTCCCTCTGGGAACTGTAGACAGGTTTATCAGGCCATCGAGATGGCCAAGGTTCAGTGACCAAGGGTGCACTCCAAAAAGGCTGATGATCTGAGTTCAATCCCAGGAACTCACATGGTAAAAGGAAGGAACTGACTCCTGCAAATTGTCCCGCTGACCACTGGGCAGTGAAACCCAGCACTCAGGAGGCAGAGGCAGATGGATCTCTGAGTTCGAGGCCAGCCTGGTCTACAAAGCTACACAGAGAAAACCTGTCTCAAAAAACCAAAATATAAAAAATAAGTAAATAAATAGGTTGTCCTCTGGCTTCCATACACACACCATGGCACATGTGTGCCCATGCATATACCCACACACAATAAAGGCATGCTTTAAACATTGTAAAGGAAGGCTTATCTTAATTGCTTTGGTTCCCATCTTTTGGGCTGTAGCTTCTCTAGTGTCCTGACGCAGAAAGGAAGGAAAATGAAAGGGACGCATGTCATGCACTGGCTCCCCTTGTGTAATAGCATATTGATGTAGAAACTAGGTCAAGCTGAACTACAGACCTCACTTATTTAATCAAACACAAATCTAAATGCTGACATGAATGGATTTTGTAGATGTGATTAAAAACCCCTAAAACAGGTGTTGTGCAAGTCTGTAATCCCAGCGCCTGAGAGATGGGGGCAGAAACATCAGGAGCTCAGCACCAGCCTCAAATACACAGGGTGCTCAAGGCCAGCCCAGGCTACATGAGACCGTGTCTCAAAGAGAAGAAACTCTAAATCAGTCAAATTTAACTTAATAAAAAGTAAGACTGTGTCTCAAAAAAAAAAAAAAAAAAGGGAGGCTGGAGAGATGGTTCAGTGGTTAAGAGCACTAGCTGTTCTTGCAAAGGATCCAGGTTTGGTTCTCAACACCCACGTGAAGGTTCACAACTACCTGTAACTCCAGTTTCAGGAGATCTAATTACTGAATGAATATGGCACACATGAAATCATACAAGCATTCACATATACACACAATTTTTTTTTTTTTTTTTTTTTTTTTTTTTTTTTTCGGGAAAGGGGTTTTGACCAGGCTGGCCTCGAACTCACAGAGATCTGCCTGCCTCTGCCTCCCGAGTGCTGGGATAAAAGGAGTGTGCCACCAACGCCCTGCGAAAAAATAATACTTTTAAAAGAAAGAAAAAGGAGCAGGTTGTGTCTTAGTTACTGTTCTACTGCTGTGAAGAGACACCACGACTAAGACAACTCTTATGAAAGAAAGCATTTAACTGGGGGCTTGCTTACAGTTTCAGAGGGTTAGTCAATTATCATCTTGCAGGGAACATAATATCTTGCACATGGCACTGGAGCCATAGCTGAGAGCTACTTTCTGACCCACAGGCCATCTGGGAGAGAAAGGCTGGGCCTGGCAGGTGCTTTTGAAACCTCCAAGCCCACCCCCAGTATCACACTTCTCCAACAAGGCCACATCTCCTAAACCTTCTTATCCTATCAAACAGTTCCACTCTCTGGTGACTAAGTATTCAAATTTATGGACCTAAGAGGCCATTCTTATTCAAACCACCACAGGTGGGAAGGCAAAGAAAAAATACAGTTTAGTACTCATTTCCACATTATTGAACAGAGTCCAGTTTCAAGCAACATAGTGAGAGCTTGTCTCCTGAAAATTCAGAAGTTGGGGTTGAGGAGATAGCTCAGTAGTAAGTGTTTATCACCTGAGAGTGAAAAGCCAAGTTAGATTTCCAGCCCCCATGCAAAAGCTTGTATGATGGTACATGCTGCAATCCCAGCACTGAAGGGCCAGGAGAGGAGGACCCCTGGGACTCACTAGCCAGCCAGCCTAGCCAAACCTGGGAGCTCCAGGTTCAGTGAGTGAACTGAAAACAAGGTCAATAGAAAACAAGGTCAATAGCTCCTAAGGAACAGCCAAGGCTGGAGCCTCC